TAATAAAATTATATAAACAATAAATTTGGATATTATACATATATATTATACATTATACATACAACAAACATTGCTTGTTTGTATTACATGTTCTGCATATCTACAACAAGAACCATATTTTACATGCATCCAACCATGCATAAAAAAAACAAAGATAATCAAATAACCAACTAAACCCATGGCCAATGCAAAGTGACAAACTTCAAACTTCCGTTTTTTAGCTACTTTGTATGCTAAAATATTTATTTTTCGCTCTCTCTCGAAGAGGGGAGGGGGAGGTACAGGGGTTCTAGACAGCTAGGAGGATTAGAAGAAGAGGGGGGGGGAGGTACAGGGATTCTAGACAGCTAGGAGGATTAGAAGAGGGGGGGGGAGGTACAGGGGTTCTAGACAGCTAGGAGGATTAGAAGTGGGCAAATAAACAAATTTCGATTTAATAGTTCAACAAAATTTTGACAAAAAAGCGAAATATCGGCGTTAGATTTTACAGGAACTGAGAAAACTAATTTTAGGCTTATATAGTAAGAAACCTGAAACCATTTGTAAATACGTTGTCATTCATGTCTCATATTGCGTGTTTATAATGGTTAATATTGTTAAATAAAGAAAACGGTGCTTACCATTCATTATTTTTTATCGCTTAGTGCATACGCCATTCTCAATTATTGGAAGAAATATGTCGTCATGTTCACAGCCATAAAGGAGGGGGCATTTTAGGCTTGCGCGCGCCCCCTCCTTGACATGTGTTAAGGTAATTTACATAAACTACCTATAAGATATTTTTAATTGATGCTGGATTTCTACATTTCCCTTGGGATAATTAGGTAAAATAACATCCCTCTCTGTACAATTAATTTTTTTTTTTAAGTTATCATGATCAGTTTTAACCTTCACTGTATTTGAAGAGATTGTAACTATCATCATTTAATAGATGTTGGTTAAATTATAGTTGGGGAGATTAAGACAATTAAGTGAATTCCACTGATTCTAATATTTTTATATTTTTCAAATTTTTAATCCTTCAGTTTATATTTCTTGGCAGCTGACTACACAGTTTATATTTGGGTAAGGATTAAGGAGGCTGGGAAAGAAAGGATAAAATATATGAGATAATGCAAGGGTGGTCCAAGGCCGGGTATAAAGTTGTATTCTTGAATACGCCAAATTCTGTAATACGCAATGAAAGCCGAAGCCGAAAATGAGAACGTTCATTGTGCATTCACAGAATTTGGACACTGGTACATTGTACAAGTACAATGTAAACATTATGCACGATTTATTTCAATATACGTCCCCTCAATGCAGTTCAGTTCTATCGTAGGACTGCACTTTTTAGAGTTATATCAATTATTCTTGAATGTGTATATGAATACACAGCTTGTATTGAATATTTAGCCAAACAACACATGTTTGTATACAATTTCTTGTCAGTCTCAAAACTCAGTTTTAGCCGCAACATTTTAAAATGCATGATTGATTATTGTTCATCGCAAAATTTTCCATTGAAAAAATTATGAATAAAAAACTTCCAAAATTTTCTAGTTCCTGCGGCTGGTCTAACAGCAGCAGCTCCTACAGCGAATATTGATTTTTATTATTATTTTATTTTTATCACAAAATAATAAAACACACAAAATATTATTCTTTTTACTCGTTCCACAAAAGATAAAACGGAATGTTTTGTAAATTGACTACAATATATTAAATCGGTTAGAATTCATGTTGAATTTTAGTCGGCTAGCGCCTACTAAAGAATCCTTTTCAGCAGTCTGAAAACGACTCATCATTAGATGATTAGTTTTAGTTCATTTGTATTTCATCTGTTCTTACTCGTGCTGTGTAGTATATTTATTTGTTTCTACTCGACCTTTTCTTCATATTTTTATTTGTTTAGGTCTTAGTCTTGACTCTCAAATATCTTACAACAGAGAGGAACCTAAACTTCACGAGATAAAAGGTTAACCTTTCATTTAGAAATTAATAAAAAGTAAATTCATCAGTTACCAAATGTTATGAATCTACAAAAATAATTAATTTTCAAGTGTCCCACAAATTGTAGGTTGGCATGTTCCAACGATATTATCAGACAAAAGTTAACAGGACATACCAATCTATAAAAGGAGGTTCACTTGAACAAACTATTCAACGAAATGTGTCAAAGATATAGTGAGACAGTAAAACAGTGGGAAAGGAACATTAAAGCATTCTTATGCATTTCGAAAATAAAATTATGAAGTGAATTGGGTCTTTGTTTGTAATTTGTACACTGCACAAGTCATGAATTATTTTAAATCATAAATTGAGTTTAACAGTCGTCTTCCTGTTGCACAGATCTTAAGTTACGATTACTGATTAGTTAATGAGAGCATTGAGTTTAGATTAACTTCTCTATGTATAATTGTATATATGAATATTAACTTCTCTATGTATAATTGTATATATGAATATTAACTTCCCTATTTATAATTGTATATATGAATGAAGCAAATGTTAGTAATTGTCTTCCTCTTCTTTCCGCTGTTAAAAACCTGCCAATAGCTTTTAAAAACACATTGTTGTCTTTCAGGGTGAGTTTAGTTTTCTTCACTTGATTTTGAATTGTTGAAATAATACAGAATCTTAATAATTCCTTCCTGAATTGTTAATTTTTGTATGCAATGTACTTTTTACAATGTATTGTACATAATAAAGCACACCTCATATTGCACACCTCAAACCAATATATATTATACAGTATTTTGAAATATATAAAATTAAATAAATCATAATAAAATTAAATATAACATGCATTTTGAAAGGATCAACAAATGTAATCAAATCTTTTCTAAATTAAAAACATGTTTTATCTGATTCTCATCTGATTTTCAAATGAAATGATCAATTTGCAACGAAAAAAATATGTTTACATTTTCTCTTTGTTTTCTGTAAAAGAAAGTTTATCGATAATTATATTGGTAGACCAGTCAAGAAGAAAACAGGATTCCCCCCGTATTGATAGACAGGGTTCCATACGTCCTGATGGACAGCGCGTAGAACGAGATTCACAGCTCCCAGAGATAATGACTCAGGTATAGTAAATAAGGTTTAACGTTTGAACTTTAATTAAAGGGGAACTGCTAAAAATATTGTCGGACGATTTAGGAAAGTTTTTGAAATAATTTTTAATTTATCTTTGTGGGGAGTTGAAGAATGTACTAGATACCGTAGACGTGAATTCAATTGATCCTCAATTTGTAGAGCACATTAATCTTCGATTCCATTTCACTTCAGTAGCAAGAAAACACGGATTTCTTCACCGTTGATTATCAGATAGAGGTTTAAAGGGTATCGTTGTGAATGAAGCATGCCACTTTTTTAACTAGAGAGTGGAGGGTCACTTGAAATTTCGTCAACATCCATTTAACGCTTGAATCTAAAATGAGTGGCAATGCTTGGATTGAATTTTGAAAAATAACCTTCTCATTTATCTAACTCCAACCCTTTTACATTAAACCTAAAACTTATTCGGTTTTAGTTAATCCTCTCTATAGGATTAACTATCTGAACAATACAATCCAATTAAAGTTAAATCATACAAAACCTAGTCATTCAACTTTAATGCCCTTTGCAAACCTTCATCTTATAAATGTATAAAATGCATGGCTTCATGCTTTTTTGTGTTTCTTCACCTTTGCCCTTATCATCTTATTCTTATATTCATAATTTCATGGCTCATTTTCATGTTTCTTTATGTCCCTCAACTTCCCCCTTCAAACCTTATCCTATGAAGTTATAAAGTTCATACCTTCTTTAAATTTCTCATCCTTCACCCTTCATCCTTAATCTAATGAATATATTTATTTCATGCCTCATGCTTCTTCATGTTTCTCAATATTCATCCTTTCACAATCATCTTCAAATGTGTGTATATTTAATACCTTTATACTTCTTTATGTTTCTCAATATGCATTCTTCAACTATCATCTTCAAATATATACTTATGTATTTAATACCTTCGTACTTCTTGAAGTTTCTCGAAATTCATTCTTCAAAATTTTCAAATATATATGTATTTAGTGCTCCTGTTACTCGTACTCATGTCTTCTTCCTTCTTGCTATTTATTTCCCCGTGTTCCATTATAAATAAAGGGGGTTCCAAAATTATGTTGACCATGTTATACAATATCGAATTAAAAGATAAATTCAGTACTACACTTTGCATAAATATATGGTCGTCTTCCTGTTACATAGTAGAATTCAGTACTACACTTTGCATAAAAATATGGTCGTCTTCCTGTTACATAGTAGAATTTATTATATGCATTATGCACCACATCCTGGACTTTTTTTTGGGTTTTATATTAAAGAACTTTCAATTAAACCACACTCTTGCCTCTCCGTAAATAATATAGATTTACAAAATCAACAGAAATATAAACTATTTAGTAAATTAATGATTTTATGTAAAAGATGGTATGTACATTACAAAGATAATTTAAAAACTCCATTTACTACCTCCAAAGCTCAAAGAAAATATATTTATAGAAAGTAATACTTTACAAAAATCTATGTTCAAATCACTCCCTCCCCTTCAAAATTGATAACAAAATATTCTTTTTTGTCTCTCTGAAAATTGATAATTTCCAAAAGTGGATTCCCTAGAAGAGTGGCTTGCGACTTTAGACAGCAGAGATAAAGAAGTAAATTGTCAGAATTTAACACTATTTCAGAGAAAAACAGTCTTAATTTTTCTCTCTGTTCCTGGGATAAAATCAAATTTAGATTTTTTCATAATATGTAGCTATTCATGTGCATTAGATTAATCTGAACTAAAATTCTGTAAACTAATTTGAAAAATAAAATGTATTAATAAATTTGTTAAGGATGGAAACATTCGAGTGGAAAGAGGCGATACAGCAAGGTAATACAACATATGAGTTATAAAATTATGTCATGAAAAAACTAGTCATGTAGAAAAATGTTAAAAAATGTTCACAAAAGAAAAAAAATTGTTTAAAGAATGATTATGGAAAAACTAGGAAAATATGTTGAATAGTAGGTTAGGAATGTACATTGAAAAGACGAAAAATATGTTGTATATTAGGAAAATATGAAGTAAGATAGGTAGGACAATATGTTGAAAGGTATATTAGGAAAATATGAAGTGAGATAGGTAGGAAAATATGTTGAAAGGTATATTAGGAAAATATGAAGTGAGATAGGTAGGAAAATATGTTGAAAGGACGACTATCGAATAATGTTGAAAGGTCAATTAGGAAAATATGTTGAACTATCGATTATAAAAATATGGTGGGAGGACGGTTCAAAAACTTTCTTGAAAAAAACGACTAAAAGTATCTTTGAAGAATGATATTTAAAACATGTTGAAAGGTTGTGAAATATTTTGAAAAAAAGATCATGAAATATGTTGAGAAGACGATCCAAAATGTAAAGATGTTCAGGACGATGCAAGCAATTAAAAACATCGACCCATATTATTTTTTCGATCTAATTTGTCTTATTGTTTTCTCAATTGCTGAAACCCTGCAAAGTCCAGATAGCTTTTTGGATTTCTTGAAAAATTTAAAAACTACTTCAAGAAACTGGTATAGAGTCGACTTTGAAGTAAAAATAAAAAGGCTTCCTCCACCCCTGGGCCCCCTCCTCCCACTCCCATTTCAATGATAATCACTGTAGGTTGACCTGCGAAGTAGCTGGGCTAGGCAACTACGTGCTAATGTGGAAAGAGAAGCAAAGAGTAATTTCAGCTGGAAATCTCATGGTAAAATATTTATATTTTTGTGTCACATGTTTTTTTTGAAATTTTTTTTCATATTTATATTTTTGTGCAAGGGTAGAGAGAAATTGCAAAAACGTCAAAATAAAAATATCGAAAATGTTTGGGAAATATTTCTTTGTAAGCAAACTATTTTAATTAACTGTTTTTATATCTAAGGGTATGTTTTTATTTTTAAATCCCTGCCTACATATTTTGGGAACAAATAAAACCTAACTTCTTATAGGGTTTTTATAAAGTAATAAACACTCAGATTTTGTCATCTGGTGTGTTGAAATAAATATATTTTACACATAAACGCTAAGTTTAAAAATTCAGTTTACTTTTGTAATCGATTATTCGATCCTGATATAAATTTATTGATGGTGTTAAATCTATATCTTAAACAGTTTATTTTTTATAATTAAAAAATGCAAACTCAGAAGAAGGCGGTAGTGGTACTTCTAAAATATATTTACAACATTTACTTCACAAATATTCCACATAAACTTTTGTCAGTCTGAGCTGGATGGTTTTGAATATAGGGAATGGGGAATAGGTTAAACTGCGCGATGAACAGATTTATGTCTTACACATTAGTATTGCCTTAGTATTAGCTGGAAACTTTTAATTGAATAAAATAAGGTAAACCAATAAACTGATCTAGTTTTCTACGTGATTCATGAGTTTATCTCTATTAGTTTTAAATGGATGGAATTAGTTAAACCGATTAACCTAATGCATAACCTGTTGTTTAGGTTCGAAAGGACCCGAGGTTTCAGTTGTCTGTAAAGGACGGAGTGTTTGTCCTTTATATTCGGAATGTACAAAGAGAGGACGCCGGGGATTATATTTGTGAAGTAAGTAGTATTAAAAGTAATACTAAATCTCGGTATTTTAGATGTCTAGATTCGATCATTTCTGTATCATAAAAAAAAAGTTAAGCCAGGTGTAAAGCAATATCAATTAAGAAAAACTTTGTATAAAGGAATTGAGTCTATGCCACAAACTAAAATTTTCCTATCGTTATAACTTTGCAACCCAATGTCGTAGACCTTAGATATTTTAAACTATGAATTCTGGTAGATCAAATTATTTGAGTTTGAAATATCAAAGTTTTACACTACCCAGTTGCAGAGATGTTAGGTTTAACAAATCTGAGTTTGTGACAAAAACTCATTTCCTTTATTAAATTTTTTTTGCATTTTATACTTTTTAATGTGCAATTTAAGTATTAAAAGGTCTTTTTTGATGTACTTGTTGAAATCGAATTTCAGAGTTTATGGTTATACAATATACAATCAGTACATGTTTAGTTGTGTTCAATTACGCGTGGATTCTCCCAAGAACCATAGACCATGAAAAACAACTCTTCCTTTAATGATCAGTTAGGATAAGTTAGGAATTAATAGAGAAGAAATCTCGTGCTAATTAGTATTTATGAAATGTTTAATGAACACGAAGAATAGCGTCACGTTGTTATTGTGTTATTAGTTTCATATCGATCAGAAACAATGAAAATACAATTTTTCATTTGTCAAATTTGATATAAATGTTTCAAGCTTGAAATTTAAAATATTTGAAAAATATGCTATTTAAAGGTTATCTACCATTTTATTGCGACAAAATATTGCTGCAGGTTTTCAGATTAAATAGTTTTCCACGAATTTTCTCTGAAATATAGATAATACGCAGAAATCCAAATTGAAAAAGTGCATTTCGATTGTTGTTGGAGTATCTTTTTTATCTCGGGATGTTTTCTAAGACAGAAAATTAAAACAGGATTATTTAGAAGAAAACTATTTTATTTTCCTCCAAGAAATACCAAAGCCATTTGGAATATGTTTGTTTAATAACGTTATTTTTAAACATTTGTATAAGTCCGTGGTAATATACAAAGGGTTAAAAAAAGTAAAAGTTAGTTGTGAATTAAAAAAGTAAAAGTGAGTTGTGAGGTAAAAAAGTAAATGTGAGTTGTGAGGTAAAAAAGTAAAAGTGAGTTGTGAGGGAAAAAGTAAAGGTGAGTTGTCAGGTAAAAAAGTAAAAGTGAGTTGTGAGGTAAAAAAGTAAAAGTGAGTTGTGAGGTAAAAATGTAAAAGTGAATTGTGGGGTAAAAAGTAAAAGTGAGTTGTGAGGTAAAAAAGTAAAAGTGAGTTGTGAGGTAAAAAAGTAAAAATGAGTTGTGGGGTAAAAAAGTAAAAGTGAGTTGTGAGCTAAAAAAGAAAAAGTGAGTTGTGAAGGAAAAAAAGTAAAAGTGAGTTGTGAGGTAAAAAAGTAAAAGTGAGTTGTGAGGGAAAAAGTAAAATTGAGTTGTGAGGTAAAAAAGTAAAAATGAGTTGTGAGGTTAAAAAAGTAAAAGTGAGTTTTGAGCTAAAAAAAATTAAAAGTGACTTGTGAAGTAAAAAAGTAAAAGTGACTTGTGAGGTAAAAAAGTAAAAGTGAGTTGTGAGGTAAAAAAGTAAAAGTAGTTGTGAGGTTAAAAAGTAAAAGTGACTTGTGAGGTAAAAAAGTAAAAGTCAGTTGTGACTTGTGAGGAAAAAGTAAAAGTGAGTTAGTCAGGATCTATGTGGATTGATAATAACTTTGAATTATGCTCTGCTAAAGATTGCAAATAATTTTCGCACCAGAGTCGAATTATGCATTCGAAAGGATGGGGCCCATTTCAAACATCTGCTTAAGAAAAAGAAGTAAGCAAATGTTATAACAAAATGTTTGTAAAAGTTAATTTCACAAAATAAATGTTCCCGAAACCACAGTTCTGTTTAATATATCTGATGTACTTATCTGAATAGTACATCTTAGTGTATGTAATATGTATATAATATATATATAAATCATATTGTACATCACGTCAAATTGAAATCTAGCTCCCAGTCCTCTCTTTGAAGAACTATTGAGAAAAATAAAAAGTTATAAATTTCAAGTATGTAACCAAATAATTTGCTTTTCTCATATGTGGTCATCAAATAAAAAAGATGAGTTTAACTTGTAAAAATTTGAATTTTTCTTGGGTTTCGATTGGGGTAATACGTATCGTCTAAGTACTAATACTAAGTGTGCTGCTGAATCACCAGTGGCCGAATTTAAAGAATTTGAGTCGTGGTTTAAATTTAAGCCGCGGTTTAAATATGGTTGGTTCCACTTAAAATTGTATCAAATGTTTCAAGATTTAAGCCGGCGCTAAATTTAAACCGGGTTTTGGCGGATTTTGGCGGATTTAAACCGCGGCTCAAATTCTTTAAATTCCATCTCTGGAACATTTGTTTACCTTGTTTTATAGGTTGACGTCCTTGGTAGACCATTGAGAGGAAAACAGATTTTAGAAGTTCTTGTTCCCCCTGTAGTACAGACTAGGTACTAAGGGTGAAAGGTTTTTTGACAAAATTGAGAGAAATCAATTCCAAGTAGTAAATACTAATGCATGTTTTAATGCTAAGAAACATTTACAAATGGCATTTTTCGTTAAAATCAAAATTGACCATTGCAAATGGGCTTGTGATAAAAAACGCTAGTAAGAGTTTTTTTTCTTCTCAAAAGATCCGTCTTTCCTAGTCATAGTCAACGGAAAAAATAGTTGGAGCTGAAAAACTATGGAAAACAGCTGATTTTGTGCTTTCCCTAATTTTTTCCACCCCTTAATGCTCCTAAATCGCACGTTTTTGAATATTTTTATTAACCATTTGCTGCATTGAATTAGGCCTTTGCAAGACAGTTTTTTTTGATACACATATCGACATATTTTGAAATTTTTTTTAAAAATAACTTGTATGACTGGTTTTTCGGTCACAAATAGCCATTTGCGATGGTCAGTTTTGATTTTATCGAAAAATGCATTTTTTAAATGCTGCTTTAAATTTTAAAAAAACACAGTAGTATTACTACTTGATTTGTGTTTCATGAATATGTTTCACCCTTACTAGGCATATATAATTATTAAAAAATTAAGTTTTATGATTAATTAAACTACAAAGGAACTGATCGTCAGCAACACTTTCTAATTTTCTTATAGCAAGAACTTCATTGCAGAACTTCATTATTTCAAACTAAGAATGCTGATCGATCAAATATTGAAAGTTTGAAAAATCAAAGATTTAAAGCAACAGGTTGCAAAAAAATGAGTTTATGGCGAATTTCCAGCGCCTTCCACTGCATACGCATATTTTCTTCAAACAGTAAGATGTCTTGAGGTGTTAGTATTTAACCCAGTAAAATACAAGAGTTTAAACATAAAGGATTTATTTATTTTAGAGAAAATAAAGTCGATCTCTATAAGGGCGATAATTATACTCTAAGGTAGAACTTTTTTAATTTTTTCATCTTTTTATATCACTTTAACACTTTTTTTCTTATTTTTAGATCTCTTTCAACTTTGTTTATCTCAATCTTCTTTCTATAGATATATTTTTTTTCTTCTTTTTATATCTCTTTCTTTTAATCTTAAGATACCTTTCTTATTTTCTTAATATATCTTTCTTCTTTTCATTATCATTATCAATCTTATAATCTATCTATTTATTATCAATCTTATCATTATCAATCTTATCATTATCAATCTTATCATTATCAATCTTCTCACTAGCAATCTTATCATTATCAATCTTATCATTATTAATCTTATCATTATCAATCTTATCACTAGCAATCTTATCATTATCAATCTTATCATTATCAATCTTATCATTATCAATCTTATCATTATCAATCGTATCATTGTCAATTTTATCTTATTCAAATTATTTTAGCTGCTCTGGGCAGGGCTATCCCAATCCACGTATTATTTGGTCAAAACAGGTAAAGATCATTAGATTGATCGACAAAAGATATTCTTAAATATAACCGAACGGACAAATTAAAATCATTCGGCTATTCTACCACGTGGATTTAACGGTTCTGTCAATATTTCAGAAAACTGTGACTTTCGATCACAATTTGACCCCTTTTACATAATTTTATAGCCATTTATCTAAAATATTTTTTTTGTTGGCATATACATTTTGAATGAAAAAGTATAAAATAAACAAATCTGTAAGTTTTAAGATTGTAGAAATAAAGACGAAAACACGTTTGATTTCAAATAAAAGAAACCGAATACTTCTCTCTCTGGTTAGTTCAGGGTTCTACATTATTTGATTATTCAATAATGTAATATAAAAATTTAAATTGACAAAATAGCAGAATTCTTAGTTTGGAAAAGCAATAATTCTAATCAATTTACAACTTACTAAACTTAATTAAGCTGATCCTTTTGTTGACGTCAAAAAAGTACAAATCATGTTGATCCAAATATTCGGATTAAAGGAGTTGATTCACTGCCACAAACTCTGATTTTCTAATCCCTATATCTTTGAAACCCAATGTCGTAAATGTTTTTTGATCTAACAGAAGTCATAGTTTGAAATTTCAAAGGTCTACGACATTGGAATCTAAAGATATTGGGATTAGAAAATCAGAGTTTGTTTCAAAGACTCAATTCCTTTAGAAAATTGTCTTGTTCATATGCATTTTCAAATATTTAATTAATTTTTCAACTTGCGTGTAATACTTTTTGCAAAATTTTTCACATGCATTGTTTTAAAGGAATAAATGGAAGTAGTTAAACTATGTAATCACAGTTAAAATACTTTTTTAGTATGGCCGAGAATTCACCAAAGAAAACCGGTTAAACCATTAATACCTACTTTAACTGCTTCCCGCTTTCCTTTCATTAAATTCAATCTTAGTCAACCTTTATTCAATGCTTTATACATAATTGTAGATATAAAATATTTTTTTTCCGCTTTGGTGCTTTGTTTTGAAACATGACAAAGGTTTTTCTTTTTAGTTAAAAATATTAATCGACCTAAAATATATAAGACTTTTATTACTGAAGAAGATAAATTGTATTAGGCCTGATAAACGCCGCCTAATCAAACCCTGCACCTTAAATAAATACAATTGCATTTACTGATTCTTGGGTCGACTTATATATATATACATATATATATATATATATATATATATATATATATATATATATATATATATATATATATATATATATATATATATATATATATTATTGGGCGTGATTAAATATATAAACTCTGGACCCAATATCCCAACCCTCCAGTGTGTGTAAATATGCACTAGGGTTTATAGCGGAAGCAAATTTTTACGAAAAATTGCATGCGAATTCCGGAAATTTTTGAGCGGAGTTCCGTAGACGTTTGTGCGAAATTCAGCACTTTTACGTGAAAATTAATGCTGTGGTCCAAAACACAAAACAATATGCGCAAACATTTCAGAAAAATTGCGGGAAAAGCTTTTTACTATACAGTCAAATTTTTGCTATAGTTTTGTAATTCGAATAATTGTTGCATGAATTTTGACACACAATTTGTGTGTGCAGAGTTTGCGTCAAAATAATTAAAGTTGATTAAAACGTTGAATTTTGAATCGGTAATTCAGGATTTCAGCCAGTGAGCACTTAATATTTAAGAAATAGTTGAACTGACGGTATGTAGTTCATCAACCTTTCTCATTGGATGCATACTGCCATTTAATTTTAGATTGCATTTTTAATTATATTACATTAACATGTAACAAACTACATACTAAAGCTAGAATTTCTTTTATTCTTTCTGAAGTATTAGGGCTTCTTTTTACAAGCAATATAAGAAACTTAAAATTCTGTAAGCTCTCTTATGAAATGTTGTTATTTTGTTTATAGCATATAAAGGTACAAGGAGTTTATAGAGTAGACAGTAAAAATCAATTTTCTGTTTCCTCCAAAACAATTTTTTTTAAATACGAAAATTGGCTTTGATAAAAAAACCAGAAGTGTTATTTAAAGATAAAATCATATGAAAAAAAAAACAAGATAATATAATATCTCAATATTTGTTTACGGATAAACTTAATGGAAGAACAAAGACGAAAAGATGACCAAAAAACAAACTTCCAACTGTATATTTTAAGTGGCTTTCCACTTATAGAATGGCATGTCCGATTCACACCGGTTCTCTTAAAATTCTTGTCTGATCAAGAATGCAGGAGATATCAATAGTTATATCTTTAAAATTTGATTATTTTTCGATAAATTTTTTACAGGTAGTGTTGAGCATTTGCCTATTTTCATATCAAAAGTCACTTTAAATTACACCGACAGTCCCTGAATTAAAATACGGTGATGGTGATGGACCAAACCTCTGTAGAGTAAAAAAGTAGATGTTAGTTCCACATTTATTGAAAATATATTTGTATATTTAAGGGCGGATATATGAGAAGACCAGGACATGATATAAATTGTATATTTAAGGGCGGATATATGAGAAGACCAGGATATGATCTATATTGTATATTTAAGGGCGGATATATGAGAAGACCAGGATATAATCTATATTGTATATTTTAGGGCGGTTATATGAGAATACCAGGATATGATCTATATTGTATATTTCAGGGCGGATATATGAGAAGACCAGGATATGATCTGAATTGTTTATTTAAGGGCGGATATATGAGAAGACCAGGATATGATCTATATTTTATATTTAAGGGCAGATATATGAGAAGACCAGGATATGATATGAATTGTATATTTCAGGGCGGATATATGAGAAGACCAGGATATGATCTGAATTGTATATTTAAGGGCGGGTATATGAGAAGACCAGGATATGAGGGACTCTCCCTTCCACTCACTAATGTCAACAGGAACAAACTTCAACTAATCATTAAAAAACATTTCTTCTTCTTCGGGTTACTTTAACTTGTAAAAAAACATCTGTGGTTGCAGTATTAAGAAGTTCAACGCTATTGTTTTTACACTCGCTAAAATTTTGCTGACATTCTCTTTAAAAGACTGTAATCCATTGGTTTGGGTTGTAACAGATCCAAGTTTGTGACCTCGTGGTTTTGAATGGTGCAAGGGAATAATATATTCTAGCACGCAACCCATCACCAAACCCAATCAATCAATTAATCTTATTACAATAGGGATAAACAAACAAAAAAATATTTTATTCATTTTTAAAATGTTAGCTCCTTTAGATCTGATTAAAACGTATAAGAAATCAGAATCAAATATATAAAGTTGTTGAAATGAAAAAATACTTCAGTATTTAATTACTAAGCTTTTAGGGCGCTTTGCGCCACCTTTCCTGTAAATAATTTTAACTTTTAATTGTTGTTGCTCTGAAAGTCGGACAATTTAAATAAATTTTAAAGGAATTGAGTTTTTGCCACAACCTCAAATTTTCTAATTTCTATATCTCTGCAACCAGTGGGTATAAACCTTTGATATTTCAAACTTAGGTTATTTGATCTAACAGAATTAATTGTTTGAAATATCTAAGGTCTACGACATTGGGTGGCCAAGATATAGGGATACGAATATTTGAGTTTGTGGGAAAAACTCAAATCCTTTTGGAGGATTTTTCTTTTCGAATTGGCGCAATTTAAAAAACTATTATCCTGGAATTTGTCCTCAAATTTTGATGTTCCTGAAACCTTCCTTCCACACAAAACTTTATGCCTGTTCTCACCCATCTTCTATTTTAACATTAAATAGATGCTCAATCTTTCAGCATTTTTTCTTCGATTGCAGATTGCACATTTACAATTTTTTCGTAGATTTTAAAATTTTACGAAATTAAAAATATTTGAAGACACATTTTTGCAATTCTAAGCATTAATAAACCTTCCCTGGGGTAAAACAAACACCCAGACATTCAAGCAAAGCAAAATTTATTTTTTTAAACGTACAATGTACAATTTACATGCAGCTTACAAAACAAAAACAAAAAGAATTGATTATTTTTTAAGGAATCTCGGCGAAATGTATTTAAGAAATTATTTTTTATATTTCGATCTATCGTTTGAAATAGTAGAATTTTAAATATTATCGTAATACACAGTATCATCAAACTTGTCTTTTCTTCGAAAATCATTCCCCGGTCCGGCCCTGAAGGTGAGGGGTAATTCTTACAAAAGTAAAACTATAAAATCATTTTTTTCCTTGAGTTCAATAGATTCAATTTTAAAATTACTCAAATAAATGGAAAAATATTTTAAGGTATTTAATATACATGAAAGAAAAGCTTTTTATACTTTGAAAGAAATATTTTTAATAAATAAACCCAATAAATTCCTTCAATATTGTTGAAGAATGTTTTGTAAACAGGCAAGACAGCGGTAATTACATCTGTCAAGCCAGTAATGGAGTTTCAACACCTGCACAAGCTGTCATAACTGTCAGGGTTAAATGTAGGTTTTTAATAATCTTTTCTATTTTTATAAATATATTTTTAATTATTATTGCTTCTGATGTATACAAATTTTTACAACGTTAAATATAAAAATTTCTAACTTAATAGAAATTCCAAATACATTTCAAAAATCTAAAAGCGAGGCCAATTTCAAATAATTTTTAAAGGTTAGGTTAAAAAGCCAGAGGCGCAACTAGGGGGAAAATTTATTATTTTGTAATGGTTAGGGGGGGTGTAGGGGTGGTCTTGCACCCCCTCTCCCCTTTAGAATTTTTTTTTCAAAATAAATGCGATTTTTATAAGGGTTTGATGTCGAAAAAAGGAAATTTTCAGTTGTTGCATGCAGATTTGGCTGTGTTCAATTCAAATCGTTTTTTTCTTGTGTTTTTAAAAAATTTATATTTTCAACAACTGTAAAATTAACGATATGAGTCAATCAATTCTTTGATAACGATATGAGTCAATCAATGTGTGCGCAGAGCGCCAAAGAAAGTTCAGGGGGCCCCTCTCAGGTGCTAGGGGAGGGCGCGCGCCCGACCGCCCCCCCCAGTTGCGCCTCTGTAAAAAGCAATACCTCACAACTTTGAATTTAAGACAAATATGCGTTTTAAGTTTACAGATTTGAATATTATCGCTTTTTGATTAAGTTTTTTGATTTCCAGACGTCAACCAGCTTTCCAAGCTTTTCTTTTTTTAATCCTTACTTTTAATTATATTTGTTTTGTATGCTCTTTATCAGAGAGATCGTCTTTACAAGAGCAGTTCATCTATTTATTTATCACAACAATGGTCTTTACAAGAGAATACCTTTTTTTCTAGCCAACAATGGTCGTTACAAGAGAAAATCTATTTATCTAATAATTTATCTAACAAGGAACTCTTTTTATTTAACAAAGGTAGTTGGAAGAGCAAATCTATTTATCTTACGATGGTCATTACAACATCAAACCTTTTATCTTTCCGAACAATGATCGTTACAACATCAAACCTTTTTATCTTTCCGAACAATGATCGTTACAAGAGCAAATATATTTATCTAATAAAAGTAGTTACAGCGTAAAAGGTCAAATCTGTTTATCTTCACATCCGTTTATCTTACAAGGGCAAATCTATCTATCTATCACATCCGTTTATCTTATGTGCGCAAATCTATCTATCTATCACACCCTTTTTCCTTGATTTTTAGAATTATATCTTACAGTGTCGTTGTTTAGTCCGAATTTGGTTACTATTTATTTTATCATTAAGCGTTGTTTACAAAAACCTGGACTAGCAAATTTTTTATTGATAATAAGTTCAATTGAACATACTAACAGACATACTCTTCAACTCTTTTTTTCATAACCTTCGGGGCCTTTCATTAGTTAGAATAATCTTGTTTTATGCAAAATTCTGTATTCTGAATCCATAAGTAATATTCTGTGTTGTACAATGTTTTTTGTAGTGTCACACATTCACAGTCGTATGCATTATCAGAAAGTTTATATTTTGTGTCTTTTATATAAACCAACTTTCAGAGGAATTATAATTACACTTCCTTTTCTTGTTTGAGTTGAAGACTCTTAAAGTATAATTAGGTCTGGTAGAAGACAAAGAAATGAGTTTTATTTTGTCGTGATGATAAGTTTTTAAAGAAAGATAAAAATAATAAAAAAATATGGTTTCTGAGTCAGGAAATTTTGAGCTGGTGGCTAAGCCAAGAAGTTCAGGGACAAGACGTCTTAATCCGCCAATGACAGCATTTAACTTCTAAAATAAATTCTGAAGAAAAGTGGGATATCCTGCCCTCTTGTCTAGTTAAATATATAATGTTTAATTATTAGATCCACCGGAGGTAGAAATGGAGCAGAATTGGTTAAAGTCTGAGAGTGGAACAGAGATAGATATTGATTGCATTGTTTATTCAGATCCTTCTCCACAGGTGCATTCACTCATTCATTTAATTATTCATCCCATAATTCATTCATCCTGTCATTCTTTAATTCATCCTTTTACTCATTTATCCTTTCATTCATCTATTATAAATTAATCCATTCCTTTATTTATTCATTAATCTATTATTTATTTATTTATTTATTTAGTCAGTCAGTACTTATTTCATCAATTCATTTATTCATCCTGTAACTATCTCATTAATTCATTTATTTTTATTCATTCATTAATTTAGTAATTCTTTAATTAATTAGGTTCATTAGTACCATATTGACCATTAATCTAATCACCTGTGAATTCATTTATGAAAGATAAATCAATGATTCATTGTTGAAACTAAAACTTATGTTGACATATAGGAAAGAAATGGCATAAAATGGTAAAATGGATTACTAGTTAGAAAGGAAGAATGTAGAATGGATTACTAGCTGGAAAGAAATAATGTAGAATGGATTACTAGTTAGAAAGGAAGAATAAAGAATGTAGAATGGCTTACTAGCTGGAAAGAAAGAATGTAGAATGGATTACTAGCTGGAAAGAAAGAATGTAGAATGGATTACTAGCTGTAAAGAAAGAATGTCGAATGGAATACTAGTTGGAAAGAAGGGTGTAGAATGGATTACTAGGTGAATAGAAGGGTATAGAATGGATTACTAGCTGTAAAGAAAGAATGTAGAATGGATTACTAGCTGGAAAGAAAGAATGTCGAATGGATTACTGGCTGGATAGAAGGGTATAGAATGGATTACAAGTATAGGGTAGAAGGGTGTAGAATGAATTACTAGCTGGATAGAAGGGTGTAGAATGGATTACTAGGTGAATAGAAGGGTATAGAATGGATTACTAGCTGGAAAGAAAGAATGTAGAATGGATTACTAGCTGGAAAGAAAGAATGTAGAATGAATTACTAGCTGGATAGAAGGGTGTGTAGAATGGATTACTAGCTGGATAGAAGGGTGTAGAATGAATTACTAGCTGGATAGAATGGTATAGAATGGATTACAAGTATAGGATAGAAGGGTAGAATGAATTACTAGCTGGATAGAAGGGTGTAGAAATGAATTACTAGCTGGATAGAAGGGTGTAGAATGAATTACTAGCTGGATAGAATGGTATAGAATGGATTACAAGTATAGGATAGAAGGGCGTAGAATGAATTACTAGCTGGATAGAAGGGTGTAGAAATGAATTACTAGCTGGATAGAATGGTATAGAATGAATTACTAGCTGGATAGAAGGGTATAGAATGGATTACTAGCTGGATAGAAGGGTGTAGATTAGAATGGATTACTATTTGTGAAACTGAACAAAGTGAAGTCCTGTCCTGTGTTGGAAAGAATTTGGCGTGAGTTTAAATATTCAAATATTATACTCACTAATCCATAATATGTTCTTTCTAAATCCGTTTCTCTCAAATCTGAACAATATGTGAAAATAGATTAAGAAAATATTTCAGAGCTTAACTCTAAGATAAATCTATTTTCAAGGTTGCGGTGAGAGAATCCATTTGGTAATCCAAACCAATCCCCGGTAGTATATCCTGAACCCAGTACACTGAGTTTTCTAATTCATGTACTATGTACGATGTACACCATTTGTCTAACCATTGTCATTGGTATATAACAAACTGACACATTCTAAAACAGGACAATATTTGAGAAGGTTTAAAACCATTTTAATTTCATTCCAGTTAAAGATTACGAATGGGAAACAGATATGACATTAAATACCTGTTTAAACAGTAAAGAAAAGTTTTAGTTGAGTAAAGAAGAAAAATAAGATAATAACAGGCTGGGTATATAGTAACTAACAAAACAGGAGAGGAAAAACAAATCCTGTTATTACTAGTAAAGGTTATTTCTGTTTTTGTCTAGGTGACCTGGTTCAGAAACTCCGGGAAAATATTTGAAACGGATCGACTGCTTATGACCGAAAAACCAGGACGCTGGACAATTAAAATCATCGATATAAGGGACCTTATCACTTTATATTTTCTCCATTTGTGGAGTTGCTGTCCAATTCACAGCGTTACCCTTTAAACCTTCGTCTGCATTAAAGCATGTAAAACATACTATTTTTAATCGCGGTTTCTCACAGTAGGTCACTTGCGGAATTAAGCCACACAGGAAGGAAAATGGCAGAATTTAACACTTTTCCCGAATAGGAAAACTCCAAGAGCTTCCTAATTGTTCTTCAGATAAAGGTTTACAGGACACCGTTGTAGATATCACATACCACTATATAAATAAAAAGTAACGCAAATTTGCATTAATAGTTCTTAAAGTATGTAAAAATACTAACATAATTCAACCATGCAAGAAAAGCTTAAAAGAAACTTGCGTAAGAAAATTCTTGAGTATGATCTGAGATGAATTTTATAAGTCCCTGCCTTAGAAGACGTAAATAAAAATATCGTCAACAATTCCTTTTAAATCGCTATATTTGAAACATGTGTATCGTTCTGCGAGTTGAGAAGTTTATTATATTTTCTATTCTGAACTGCACTACAGAGCAAGGAAAACTTTACAGAAACTTCTCCTAACTAGACCAACGGCATCGGAGATAATCAGGGCACAAAACTTTCACATTTTCAAATTTCAGGGATTCAAAAAAGTTATCACATTCATTTGTTCAAAAACTTTAAAAATACCTGAGAATATAAATATGATTAGAGAACAAGCAAATATTCAGCTTCTGCTTAGCCTACTGCTTAATATACAAGGGGTACCCTCAAAGGAAGAGACGAAGTTCATTCAGCCTTTTTGCTGTGTACTTTTTTTGTCAAATCAAAAAGTACATTTAACATAAAAAAATTTGTATGCAAGACACAAAACGAAATTTAGCCTTCAGAGCGTTTTAATTTTAGAGGTTTAGATCGTCATTAACCTTTTGTGGGTAATTTTGTAAGTAAAAATCTGAAAGAATATGAATTCTTATTTCAAGACCTTCTTAAAGATGTACATCCATACCATGCAAATTTTATCTAACAAACAATAATGACTGTATTCAATTTTTGAAATTTTAAAGTTAAACTTTTCGTCGTAAACTTTTGATTTTCAGGGTGAACATACTAGATTTCATTCTTTGTTGGAAAAGTGCTTAACATGACTTCGCGAATCTTTAATTGATAGTGTCAGAATGAAGAAAAAATCAGCTTTATAAAAATATTTATTTCAAAAAGACAACTCGAAGATTCTAAAATGCTTTTGAAATCAACTTAAATTAATAAAAGATAAAAAAAATTGGAAATAAAGAGAACATGAATGAATGCTGACGTAAATTGAATAGATGATTAACTGAATATATATATTGAACCTAATTTGATGGATTTCCTGGAAAGTTTAATAATGAATGTTTAACATAGATCGTGGAAGGGCTTTAAATAAATACTGTGAATTAGAAAAAACAAAAAAGGTCACTTTCTCTTTAACTTTTAAGCTTGTGCTTGATACCTTTGACCCCCATATACAAAAACTACAATTGAAAATTCTCAAATATTTTGGAAAATAACATATAATTAATAAAACTCAATTCCTTCATAGTAAAGAAAACTATATAAAATCTATGAAAAAAGAAAGAAATGGCATTTGAAAAAACAAATTTCTCTGAAAAACATCACACAGAACAAGGGTATCTTCACTTGTTAAAATACTACATTTAAAAATTTGTCAAAAATCTAAATTTGATTTAAATACATATGGTTTACTATACATACAAGGTTTAACGTTAAAATTTTCCCTTCACCTCCCCTTTCCTATTTCAGAAGACTGCAAACTATTCGTTTTTTAAAAACTAGTTTGAAGCGCTAAGCAACTGATTGAAATCTGTAATTAAAATATTTTGCTGTTTTAACATGAATACTTAAAAATGAAAATGCAGATGATTTTGGTAAAAATGGTTTATACTGAAAGCTATATATATATATATGAAGTGCTCGGGGTTTAGGGAGTCAGATTTCGGTAACTACAGTTGTAGGGCAACTAATCTTCTGGGAAAAGCATCTGCTGTTTCTGTTATTTCAGGTAATAATGCAGCTTTATTAATATTTTAACACGTTTCACAAAATTTTAACCAAATTATCAAATCTGTGCATGCAACGGGATTATTGTAAAAAGAACTCAGAAAATTATAATCTTAAGTTAATTATTTTCGTTTATTTAAAAAAATTCAAAAGATTTAACGATCAAATCTCGGAATTTTTCTAGTGCGAAAGTTTGGTGTTGAAGGGGTTTTTATTGATCTGCCAGGGGTTATGATCTGGCAGCACATTCATCAGTAAACGCTTTATTTATGCTGAGAAGAGGGTTGACTAGAATCCAGCTGTTTACAGTTTAGGAATGTGTTGGCTTGTGAATAGTAGAGTACAGGAATTCTTCTGATATATTGTAATGAGGCCCAGGTGCCTTATAGACAGAAAACATCATATCTCATTGCTCCCAATCATTTGTAAGTCCAGACTGGATACCTCCAGGTACCTAGAGTTGGCAACCAAAGACTCTCCCTGCTTGTCCACCTATCCTCTCTTCATCATCTTTTCCTTGGATCATTCCATTTAAAGCTCCTTTCCTATTGAGTATAGAAATCATGCACCCTTTTGCTGCGAGAATTGTTTACGGGCACCCCTTTGTCTTCCTACATCTGTCACTGGGTCTTAACTGTTTAACCAGATGTTAGCTTTTGATATGCATGAAACCACAGGTTTGTGTGGAGTGCGAGAACCGAACTCTTGGCACCAATCTAGTTACTTGCTCTGGACAAACGTGCTTAATTTCAGTATATCACACACTAGCCTAGCCACCATTCATTTTTCATCACACAAAAAAATGTGTTTAAAAGTACCCACCNCCCCCCCCCTTTATTTGACATAAATCTAAATTTACATGCAAAAACCTTAAATGAATAAAAAATGTTATCCAACCTTCAAAAATTTAATTTTGTCTGACGTAATAATGGCTATAAATGAAAATCATCATCACACTTTAAATATTTAATTATTTGGAAGAAACATTTAATAATTGTGTATTACAATTTTGTAGAATTAGCGTGTACGTTACCTTTAATCTTGACAATCAGGAAGACGACTAGGATTATCTCATCCTCTTCCGTCATTTATCAAGACAAAGCACATTGATTTTTTAAAGAAAAATATGAGTACGTCTCAATATTATCAATATTAAAATTGTTGCCTTACTTTCCTTTTAGTATATAGAGTAACAGCTGAACTTATCGGCTTAAGTTTTGTTTTAAATATTAAAATGCAACGGGCAATCACTGCAAACTAGACAAAGTGAGAAAGACAAAGGAACTGAGTCTTTGTCATAAACTATGATCTTCTAATCTCTATATCTTTGTAGCCCCATGCCGTAGACCTCAGATATTTCAAACTATGAATTCTGTTAGATGAAAAAAGTTTGAAATATAAAAGGTTTACACCATCAGGTGGAAAAATATAGGTATTAGAAAATTAGAGTTTGTTACAAAGACTCAATTCCTTTATGCAACATTACTTATTAAACTTTGTGATCACGTTGCTTCTCTAGTATTGATCTTCTGCACAAGTATGAGAATAGCAAATTTATCTGGTGACAGGGAAGAACTTCAAACATTCTTGTTCTTCTTAATAATCAGATTTCAATCTTACATACAATCTACTTCAATTTTGACGTAATGAAGAATTTCCGAATTATAGTTTTGAATAGATGTAGATTGCGCATACAATTTGTAAATATATTTCAAACATTTGGAAGAAATTAAACAAGAAAGAAGATATTGATTGATAGGTTTAGGCGAAGCAAGTTTGAGAGTAAATTGAATCTGTTTCCAAACAATGGAACAATATCTTCTTCTTCGTTGTTTATCTGTATACCTTATTTGTAAATCAATACACAGACTCACAGTGATTGGATACGTGACGCGAGAAGAAAAAATATATTAATAAAATCCCAAAATCACATGTCTCCAATTGCAATAACTCATTGATTTTTACAGTCATTAATCCAAATACTTTTGACCTGGAACGGGTCATTTATGAATAACGACAGGTTAGTCAACCTGGGAAGAATGGCGATGCACCCAAAGAGGCTTGACTTAATTTCGGAAAACAGTGTTTTAAATGCCTTTATTTCAAAAGGCCCAAGAAAACTAAACATGAGTAGATTTGAAGAAGGGTACGTGTAGGCGCGCAACTAGACATTCAGCAAGGGGGGAAAAGATCAAATATTTGACGGGTAGCGCGAAATAAAATGTTTTTCTCCCCCCTAAACATTTCTAAGGGGGAGGGGAAAAATTATGTGTCTTATGCTTGAAATCATGAAAACTACCTTACCAATTCAGGATATTTTGGGGGTAAATTTTTATGTTTGGAGCAAAGAGTGGGAAAAATCTAAATCAATATTTCAGGGTCAAATTTTATTTTTTTAATGGCATTATTTTTTTTAGAATTTTTGTTTTTTTGATGGTTAAATATTTAGGAAAAGGTAAAAAATCATGTATTTTTGAAACCTTTCTTTAGCTCCATCCTGGAGTAGTTAAAGTAAATTTTTTTTCCAACTCAATACCATTGCCATCTAAATTACTTTGGACAATTTAGAAATGGCCTCCAATGGCCTCCAAATGTTTCATTGACAAGTTTAGAGGCAAATGTATAAGATATTGGCCAAAAAAGCTATAATTAAAAACAGTTTTTGGTGCATTTTTCTCCTAACTCCTCTTGCTTGGCCAAATGGTGTCGCCTATAAAATAACTTGAAATTACAATAAATATTTGAAATCTTGCTAGTTTGCTAATTTTTTTCAGATCATTGAAGTAAAGCCCAAGGGCTATCCAAAAGTGTGTCAAATGTTATAGGAATAAGTTTGAAAGAGGTGTTGTTCAGAATTTAAGATATTTTCCAGCTCTAAAACCAGGTGAAGTTTCACTGCAGACTAACGTCTTGGTCTAAGATACAAGGTTACTATCAGAGCTCTAAGCAGTTGTGAGGCTAAAACAATATATATTAAGATTTGTAATTGCACTATCTAGAGAAAAGGCATAGGCTGGCCAATGGACCCTGTGCAGATTTGGAGGTTTGTTGAGTGTTCACTGATAAGGTTAGGGAATATGGTTTCCATTCTTTGCTTCATCCAGTAGACTCTTATGAATAAGTATACTTCTTTTTAGAGCATCATTAAGGTTCTTGATTCATGGGGTATTAGTATGTAATAAATATAGTTAATAAACTACATATTTGCAAACCCAAACATACCTATATATATAGTTGTGATATTATCTGCACCCTAACAATGTTTCGTTTATTTCTGAGAACTACGTTTATTAGTTTTGACTACGATTTAATTTAACTACGTTCATTGATTTAACTTGAACCATAAAACCCAAAATATAGAACAGTTGAACATGAACCTTTGTCTCGTGTAGAGGGCAGAGAGTCAGCTCTATTTGTATATGTAGGATACAGAGTAAAAGAATACTTTCGTCGTATCTGTATTGATACAGACTGAAGTATTATTTATCGGACAAGCAAGTTCGAGAGCGAGTTGTAACTGTACGATACACATTGAAGAATACATATAGCTTCGTATCTGGATTAATACAGGCTGAAGTATTAATGTAGAACATTGAGTTCTAGAGCGAGTTGTATCTGTAGGATACACACTGAAAATATATGATGGAGTATCTGAACGATACATAATGAAGATACAAAGAGTGTCTGAACGATGCATACTGAGAATACAGATAATATCTGAACGAAATATACAGAATACAGAGTATCTGAACGATACATTCTGAGAATATAGAGTATCTGAACGATACATACTGAGAATACAGAGTATCTGAACGATGCATTCTGAGAATACAGAGAGTGTGGTATCAGACTAAGGTATTATTGTAGAATATCGATTTCTAGAGCTAGTTATATCTGTACGATACATACTGACGAATACAGATGTTGTATCTCGATTGATAGATACTAACGAATACAGAGGTTGTATCTCGATTGATGGATACTTGAGTAAACCGAAGGTTATACCTGGATTGGTACAGACTTAAAAGAAACTATTGGAGTAAGACATTTGTTACAAGTATATTGTAGACACTGAAAACTGGAAGGTTGTGGTGACTTAAATATTGTAATTTTGAACGAAAAGAAAAACAGGGATCTATAAAACATGCCAAAAGATGATATCTTTGTTCAATGGTTGCGGGAGATTAAATAAATCGAACTTTTTTTGCCTAAAAATCATTTTTTAAATTATTTTCTTCATGATAATTATACATTGAGAAATTTATTATAACATGATAATAATTAAGCAAAAAATTTAAAGATTTTGGTTTTCCTGAGTCAAACGCCTTTATCAAGTCTAAACTACACAACAAAGTTTACATGAAATTTTCTCCGAAATCGCATGACAGGAATTTCTAAAAATCTATACATTGTCAGAAAATGTTAAAATCTCATGTGCTGCTATTTAAAATGCTACTTCCTAGGTGCATGAGGTGAACGGTGAGTTTAAACCTAAAAAAGCACTTAATTTCGCAAAAATGGATTTTCTTAAAAAGAGCTCCACAGGAATTTATAATTTTTAAAGTCATATCTTCTATTACCAATGCCAAATGCCAACCTTCAAACCTGAAATAACTCCAGCTAGGTGCACAGTGGGTCGCGAAAATATTTGAGAGCGATTGAAAAGGGCGACATTCAGAGATTAACGTTAAAACTTGTTAATGTAAGAAGGAGGGTGAGAATTGAGCCCTAAAACTGCAGCACTAGTTTTATAATAGAAAAATATTTTAATTACGAATTTGAGTTATTATGAATATACATTTTACATTATGAATATTGTCCAATTTTGCAAATCAGCGGGAACGAAATTAGCCTTTTCAAATACGTGTATTGTTGTTTAAAAATTTCAATCCTTTTATATTTATAATGGATTTGTTGTAACTATACATCTTCTACTATAGAAAAATAGAAAATGGGAGCATTAGGGTCTTTTAGAGATAAGATAATACAAAGATATATTTAAGGGGGGGGGGAGCAGATGAGAGAGCCCTTGCTACATGGTGTCCCAATAAACATGGGAATTCAGTGACGAATTCGATATCGTCTTTATTATGAATTAGCATTGTAATACCTGATCTTAAAAGACATAATATTCTTATGTCTGCTAAAGTTTATTTTATGAAAACGGTGAATGGCTGTAAAGATGTGTCTATAATGTCCTTGTAAGGTGAGCAGTGAAGACGGACAAGTTTTAATCTGTTTGTATACTGTTATTTTCTTGTTTTCTTAAGTACAACTTATTTAGTCAAAACACTAAGAAACAAATTGTATACATAGCATACGAAAATCTTACGGATTACAGCTTTCTCAGTAGGTATCACTATACTAAATCAAAGAATTATTTGAAAAGACGATATCGCATTCGTCACTGAATTCCCATGAATTTATTGGGACACCCTGTATAATATGCGATATTTCATACAACGGGGTCCATTGTGTACAACTGGAGTACATGACGAGAGAGGGAAGGCACACCGCGCCGACTATAAATGACGTCAAAACTTACAATTATTTCGTCCGACCACACCTTTTTTCGTCCGGCATTGCTTAGATTCTTTTTAGGCATAAAACAATTCATGGAAATTTTGATTTCATAATACCTCAAGCAAATCAAAACCAATTACTATGTTCTCTACAAAAATATGTAAATGTTTAGCTGTAGATTCTAAAACTTCCAGCACAATATAACCGAAAAGTTGCAGTTTAGGAGTAAAATAAGAAAGCAACAGAAAGTTGTGTGGTTCGGACGAAAAATAGGTGAGGCACGCATTTTAAAGAAAATCAACCCATATTGAAAAACATGACGCTGCCTAAATTTGAAAAAAAGTGTTTTAAGGCATAAGCAAAATACTGTTGAAAGCACAGAAGCAACGCGCGGACGCAAAAAATGTGTGGTCGGAAGAAATGACGTCATTTGTGGTACTGACGAAAGAAAAGTGTGGTGTGCCATCAAACGCTCACATAAAAAATTAGCATTTAGGAAACATCCACAAATTTGCAGGGATAGTCAAGGCACTGCATCCTGGATACGATATACAAGTTCTCAAAAATAGATTAGGTTTATGAAATTTTGTATTTTTAATGCCAGGCAAAATATTTAATTACGGTGATAAATTTAGACTAAAGTTCTTCCTGTTGCAGTGAAATTAGTTTTATGGTTTCTTTTACTTACAAACTGGTCTACAAGCAAGCTTCCCGTCTATGTTGATTGCTAAAGTATCTTTTACACAAAGAATACAGTTAGCATAACTACAATTTTAGAGAAACCTCTCTTAAGGGACTGTAAGCATAATTTCAAGTGACCCTCCATGCAAAGACGGCAAAACTTGATTCACAACGATACCCTTCATAGCTTTGAAAATTGAGTTAAAGAAAAGGGATTCCCTAAAAATTCCTTTAAGTAAACCTATTCCAATCTCATTATTTCAGATCGTCAACGTTAACAGAACATTTCTTTAAACACCTCAGAAGATAAATCTCTCTGCATGGTGTTGGAGTCCTGACTCATTTTACTTTAAAAGATATACATATATTTCATTATAATTCAATCGCACTAATAAGAGAGAAACGACCACCCTAACACATGCATATATAAAGATATTGTATTGGTAAGGAGGGTGGATTAGCCCCCTCCTCTCCTCCTGCTGTTCATCATAAAAGCTAATGATTTTATTCAATATATAAGTATATATATACCTAAACACTCTTTACAGTATATCATCAATCAGAGATTGGAACTTTTAAATGTTATGTAAACGAAACCGCCTTACCTTAATCCCTCGATCATACGGGGTTAATATAAACTTCATTAACCCTACTTTACTCATGAAAACTTTGGTTCACTTTAAGTGCTGGTCTGAATTTTCAGCAGCTAGAGCAAGTTGTACCGTATACATGTTTACAGACTAAGACGGGAAAAATGGACGGTACACCCATTGAACTATCCCCTTCTTGACAGAATAATAAAAATTCTTAAAACTTCTCTAGAACCTTGACGTTCAGAGATTTGACCGATCTCTGAGGTCCGGATATTTCTAACCTCGAATTTTAAAAGTCAAAATTTAATGGATTTGGGTTTTCATTCATTTCAATTTTCTTTTACAATTTCTAAGTTATCTACTCAAATAATAAATAAGATATAATCAATCATATATAAATATTTATCAAATCTTGAACAAACATTAGATATTTGCCAGATCTGTTCAAAATATTTGCTAATTTTATCTCGGATCTTTTATGATTCATTTGCAGGACTAAATAAGGTTTCATCATCTCGTATTTTACATTACACATAATAAACATCTTTCAGATATTCAGATATTCAGGTTAAAACCAAGCTAGATGGATGAAATGTTGTCTAACTGTCTCCCAATTACGCAAGTTTACTAATATATGGCATACGGATATTCTGACCCAACGCAACGTATAATAATCAAATCTGCAGTACGTACGTTCTCGGTTTAGTTCCCGGTTTACATACATTAGGAATCACTCTATGCATAATAAGCTCTTATTGTATCAATTTATTCAGTTAATTAACAAATTGATGGATATTTTTAGAAGCTTGATAAGAAGCATTAGCATCGTTATCCATGATTTTTTTCTTTTGTGGGACACTCTGTATCTTCCGAAGTGTACGCGAGAATGTGTCTTTAAATATTGAAAGACGAGAAATTTTCAACAACAAAAAAAGAAATATGTATTGCTTCACACAATGTTTACATTCTTTGCAATCTTCAGGAGACTCCACATTCAGACATTACATACGCTCTGTATTTGTATTTGACTTGGTTTGATTTGATTTAATTTGATTTGATTTTTTAAACTATATTCACTATTAACTGCAAATGTTTTCTTATGTTTTGTTTCTTGGGTAGACTGCATAGACTTCTCAGTTCTCAGCAGTTGTTACAGTTGTTATGTCAATTATAGAATTTATATATGTTTAAACAAGGTTTTATATTTATGAAACTTGTTATTAACCCCACCCCACCCCTCCCTCCTCATCATTCTGAGAATAGGACAATCCTTAAATAACTTACTTTTGTGGAAACATTTTGGTCAGTTTTTGTTATATAAGCAAATTTCAGAAGGGAGAAAATTATGTTCATATTTTAGGTCGACCGAGCCCACCAAGGTTTACGAGCCATAGTGTTAACTTCCAGTCCAGTGTTTACAACCTCACCTGGACCTGCGAGTCGGTCAGCAAGGTCACAGAGTACAAACTCAGATACAGGCAATCTAAGGTAAAAGATAATGGATAACATGTTTCTTTTATCAATGTAACGTCTGAACAGCCACCAAATAAGCTTAAGAACTCAATAGATATAAACGTTTTTAAAGTGACTAGGCTTTTAGGGCGCTTCGCGCCCATCTTCTATTTAAATTTTTAACATGTTCTTTTTGTTTACATTTAAAAACAAAGAAGAAAATAATTTTGCAGATTTTTACAAAAAATTCGCGGATTTTCAAGAATTTAAATTTTTTTACAAAATTAAAAACTTTTAAAACACATTTTTTAATTTGTATCATTCATAAACCTTCCCTGTGGTCACGTGATGTCCCACACAAAATTTGGGCCCGATCGGTTCAGCCGTTTTGACGTTTATTGGATACAAACAGACAGACAGACAGACAAACAAACATACAAGCCAAATTTATATATAGATTGTCGGATACTTTCAAGTGCATCTCAATTTAAAACGCTGTATTTCCAACTTATACCGGTACCTTTTATCAAGTATCAATATCACACTGCTTCTTAAAATTGCGAAAATTTTGTAAATTCTTCCTTTGAATTGCTGCGTAAAACCGCAAGTCACTTTTACAGTGAACCACAATTGAAAATATTCAAGACAAGGTTAACTCCATAATTTTGACTAGAAGAGTAAATGGAAGGTCACTTAAAATGACGTCGACAGAAAGTTATAATATTTTCACTGTGATCTTGCCAGGCTATATTTGATGCATAAGATGTGCTGGGTTGACTCTACACTTGTTTTATTAGTGTCCTTAATATATAATAGTTTATGTTTGGATAAATGGTTTGGAGAATACAAATTAAATGTACAATACAAGGCTATCAATGTTGCTCAATCTTTCAGCAATTTCTCTTCGATAAATCAATGATAAAAATTTTTGTAGATTAACAATTTTTTTGTGGATTTTCAAAATTTTACAAATAATCAAACATTTTTGGAGAGAACTTTTTGTAGTTCGGAGAATTCCCAATCCCAGGGTCGTGTGAGGTCCCACACAAAATGTGCACCCAATGAGTTCAGCCGTTTTGCCTTTTATTGGATGAAAACAAACAGACAGACAAACAGTCAAGCAAAGTTTATATATAGAAGATTTAAACGAGATTATAAGACGAAAACAGACTAAATAACCTTCCCCCTAGTAAGGTAACTATAAAAGGGATAAAAAGAATTGTAAAACCTAAAAGCTAAAGCTTGATTTATGTGGATTAAGAACCCTATAAAAACTTGGCCGAGATATGTTCGTGCAAACTTAAAGAACAATTTAGGAACATATTAGAATTAAAGTTTTAGTGGAGAGTGTATAGTTTATAATACAAAGAGAAGGTTTCGAGTATTTTAGAATTTATCTTCCTGTATTTAGGACTAGCTTGGAAATCCAGCATAGTCATAGGTACTCCCGTCGTTTACCCGCACTTGGTTTAGAATAAAATTTTTTGCTATTTTTCCCTATAAACGTCGTCACATTTAACTGAGAAAACAAAGCTATAAGAACATTCACATAGTTCTCCCGAGTTACACAATCAAAATTTGAGGCAAATCGGATCAAGGGTTCATGAATTATGATCGGATATTCAAACAAACAATTTATATGGATTATGATCTCAAAAATTTTCAATCTATAAAGAAGGAATATTCTAGTTAAAGTTTATGTCGTCGAATAGTCGATCTCTACCTATGGTCGTCATTTCTCAGGTTTCCATATCTTAACTAAACATGTTCCCTCTTTAAACCTTAATATTTCCCACCCTGTAGATCGTAGACCCTTCTTTACAGCACAAATCACCTCATCTTTCCCGCCCATTTATTGCACCATTCCCCACAAAATCTTCCAATCTTCCTTCTTTCCTCATCCAATATTTCTACACGATACAAATATTTAGAAACATAGTTTTTCTTACGGGGAATAGAAATAGGTTGGGAATTCTGATGAAAAAAAAGAAATGTAAATGAATTTTTAAGAAATAGATATTAACTATGTTGAATAAAATAAATAAAATAGTAAAGAGTTATTTTAAGATTTAAGTATAAAGGAAAAGGAATGATAAAAATTGTAACAAAATAGGAACAATGAAGACATACTCTTACAATAGGAGAAGGGAAGGGGTAGAAATAGCATAGAAATAGTAATGGTATTTTATCACTTGTGTGTACAGAAAAATGTTACAAAGGACTTGGATTTGGCTTGTCTGTTTGTTTGTCTGTCTGTCTGTTTGTTCGTGTCCAATAAACGTCAAAACGGCTGAACCGATCGGGCCCAAATTTTTGGTGGGACATCACGTGACCACAGGGAAGGTTTATGAATGATAAAAAATTTTGAAAAATGGGCTTTAAAGGTTTTTAATTTTGTAAAAAAAAAATTAAATTCTAGAAAATCCGCGAAATTTTTTTTCAAAAATCCGCAAAAAAAATTTCTTCTTTGTTTTTAAATGTAAACAAAAAGAACATGTTCACAATTTAAATAGAAGATGGGCGCGAAGCGCCCTAAAAGCCTAAAAAGAAGGGCGCGAAGCGCCTTGAATTTCTAGTATATTATTTTTCAAACTTAAATTATTTAATCATAGTTTGACATTGTATGACATTGGATTGTAAAAAAAGGTGTCAACTAATAAATTTCTAAAAGTTTTTTAAGTTTTTGTTATCAAGTTTTGAAGGAAAGGGGTGTAAATTGGAAACTAGATGAGATCGCAACTCTGCCACCAGGCCTGCATAATGTTAACTTCAACTGTTTTTGTTTGCCCGAACCAAAATGTGTCTCTTCAATGAAATTAAAAACAGATTTCAAATTCTTAAATGATTAATTCCTTAAATCAGAACCAAAACTTTGAGTTAATGGTTTAAACGTTTATGGTAATAAGGAGAAATTTAAAGAGCTAAAATCCTCAGAATAGTTTCATATTTTCATATTTTATTCTTGCGTTTATATAAAGTCGAGAGAGGCTTAACAAATGGAGCTTATCCATGATCTTTATAAATACTCCACATTCTCCCATTAACCATATAATCCCCATTCTTCCAAGCCCCCTTTCATCCCCCTTCCCAACATCATAAACCATGCTGACTCCCCCCCACCCCTCTCGATGGATAATTTTCCATAAGAGAGCAAAGATGATGAAATACTCTTCTTGAAGCATTATTCATTTCATGCCTCGCTCATCTGGATATATGGATAATATATTATTTATTAATCTAAAGTGGACCCATTTATTTTACTATAAAAAGACAAGAATTTGCCTTTAAAGAACTGATGTTACTATTTTGATTTACAATTTAGCTTATCTAAAATTTGTATACTTTTCCCAATCAAGAAAAGACCCCTTTTTTTTGTTTATACATGTTTTGTGGCAGTCTTTATTAGGTAAATTTTGAAAAAAGCTGCTATGGTTTGGATAGAACATCACAAGGTTGGATAAAATATCCCTGGTTTGAAATGCAAAAAACAGTTTAGAATAAATATCAATCAGGTTAGGATAAGATATTCCAGGTTTAGATTAAATATTCAATGAGTTACACATAAAAAATCCAATGACTTAAGCAAAATTTAAAAACAAACAAGGGGAGAGAGTAACCTTGCCACTCTCAGAATATAGATACAGGGCTCGAAAAAATAGATCTGCCTCTGAAACATCAAACAAATTAATTTATTTTTATTTTCAAAATTAGCCAAAGTATGATTGAAGGATGGACGAAGAATGGACGATCAAGAAGAAAGAATGAGAAATAAGAAATATAGAAGTCTCCATCTGATATTATATTGAAATTTAAAAATATTGTAAAATTTAATTAAAATTAATTATTGAAATTAAAACACATAAAATATCCCAGTTTTACAATAAATATTCCAAGGTTAGAATAATATATCCCAGTTTAACAATAAATATCTAGGTTTTACAATAAATATCCCATAATTAGAATAAAATGTCCCAATTTTCCAATAGATATTCCAAGGTTAGAATAAATATTCCCAATAGATCCCATAGTTATAATAAAATATCCCAGTTTTACAATAAATATTCCAAGGTTAGAATAAATATTCCAGTTTTACAATAAATATCCCATAATTAGAATAAAGTATGCCAGTTTTACAATAATATTTCCAGTTTTACAATAAATATCCCAGGGTTAGTTTAAAATATCAGCTGGAATATTACTCGATCTCAATAAAGTATCCAAGGTGTATACAATTTCACCGAATTTTTGCAAACCATCACATGGAAAATCACAAAATATCCTAGAATTTGGAAAAAGTACCCAAGGGATCAGAATAAATTTTCTTGTAAGGGGTAAAATGCCCTAGGGTTTATTTGAAATATTTCAATAGATAGATTAAGTATATCCAACGGTTTGTAAAAATATCCATATCTCCGGTGTGAGTATGCTGTGTGCCAAATCACTAATTTTTTTAATTTTCTTGTAAGGGGTAAAATGCCCTAGGGTTTATTTGAAATATTTCAATAGATAGATTAAGTATATCCAACGGTTTGTAAAAATATCCATATCTCCGGTGTGAGTATGCTGTGTGCCAAATCACTAATTTTTCACGTTTATCTTTCTTGTTTTTCTCACAAACAAATAACCTTTTTGGTTGTAAACGTCAGACAAGGATTTGATTAATGATTTTAGAAACTTGTATTTATACAATCTAAAAAGTTATTTTTGTTAAAAGGACTGTCAACGTAATTCTATACAGCTGACCATTCTATTATTTATCAAGATTCAAGATTAAAAGGACTGTCAACGTAATTGTATACAGCTGACCATTCTATTTTTTTATCAAGATTCAAGGTTAAAAGGACTGTCAACGTAATTCTATACAGCTGACCATTCCATTTTTTATCAAGATTCAAGGTTAAAAGGAACCAAGCATGGTTTAATGCCGTTGCTAAGAATGACTGATAAGCCTTTAAATTTTGTTGTCCCTATCCTTTAATCTTTCCTTACGACTAAGATCTAAACTATCAACCTTTTATAGATTTTTGTCATGCATAAAAACTTACTCTTTCTGGGCATACAGATTTAATCCTAATTTTTCTAGGATTCAAATAGCGAAGGTGGAGTATGGTCTGAGCTTGTCCTTCCTGTATCCGAACCTACTCTACAATACCATTACACACTCAGGTGATTAAACAAAACTTGTTGGAAAAAGTAAACTTTCGCAGGAAAATGTTGTTTTGTTTCATATTTCCAGGGACTGAAGTTTTAGTTGGACAATTATTGTTAAGATACAATAATGAGCCAATATTGTTAAAAACTTTAATTTCTGAAAATTCAGAAAACCTTGAGAGCCACAGATGTGCAAAATCTACAAACGTACATTTTTTATCTTGTGTAAGAAAATATTTTTTTTTTAAAAATAAGTTCGTACTAAGATTTCGATTCCACTGGAGACCATCGGAGGAATTTTATTTTCAGTGGAATTATAACCCCCCCCCCCACACTCCTCCCGTGGAATTATAAACCGCAGGAAGAATATCTGAATCCCTCCAGTGAAATTAAAACCCCCCTGGATAGATAACTGAATCCCTCCAGTGGAATTATAAACCCCAGGAAGGATATCTGAATCCCTCCAGTGGAATGATAAACCCCCTGATAGTGATCTGAATTCCTCCAATGGAATGTTAATCACCCTACGTAAAGTTTTAAACTGTAAACAGCAATTTTTCAAACACCTCCAGTGAAATTGGATTCCAGTGTAGTCAAATCTTACTACGAACTTCCGTGACTCGAAAAAAATCGCAACCAACAACATTATTTCCCCTCCTGCACATCTGTCCCTTCTCCGCCACTTCTTTACCATCCATATTTTCAATAACGACCTCCTTTCCCGTATTCCGAGTTCCGACTGGTTCTCCCTCTTATTCGCCACGGCATCTTACTGTCTCCTCCCCTTCATTCGCAAAAATTCTTTCCTCTTTCTAACTCTCCTTAGTCATAATCCCTACTCTTTCCGCCGTCCATCCTCTTTCTCAGGATTTTCGCCTTCTTTCTTCTACGCCGTTATTTTCCCTTCATCCGCTTCTGGTCATTCCTCTCCAGTTTCCAACGTAATAGATTATTCACTTACGCGAAATTGCGTGCAGTGACGCGAAATAATTGTTATTTCGTGTAATTTCGCAGGATTACGGGTAATTGGCGAAACTTTAATTTCGCGAAATTACGGAGTAATTTCGCAATAATTACGCCTAATTAGCGAAACCTCCAAACAACAGCCTACAGGAGCACATTTTAACCTTCCTGGACAAGAACTCTACCATCTAAAAGTTAGCGTACTAGAGTTTACTAGAAGTGCGAGAATGTAAATTTATCAGAGATTTTATGATTGAACAGAACAAAATTGTTTTTTATAAATATTAACTGTAATTCAGTATTTAAAAAGTAAAAGTTACGTAAAAGTTTGTTAATTAGATCGACCCCCACTACTACTTTATATACATACATATAAACTGAAGAGTTTGTTCTAAATCTTTATTGGACAGAAAAAATCTCAAGGAATAAAAATTTTCTTGGAACATTCTTTAAAAAGTAAATATTTGCAAATTATCTTTTTTCCCCTTTGTCCATTAGACAGTCCACTTAGAATCTTTTTAAAATAATCTTTTTTGTTTGTTTACTTTCTTGAGGTTTTTAACATCGATTTTAATTATGTGAAATTAGACTTTCTTTCGTATACGTAATTAACACGTAATTTCGCGTAATGCTCCTCCGTAAGTGAAAGAAAGTGTTACACATAATTACGTGTAATTACATGTATTTTAATCACGACTGGAAACCCTAGTGAGTCTCCCTGCATCTGTAATCTCCCTGTTCTGGAATTATAGGGTTGAGATCACAATCAGTAACATTGTTGACAAAGCAGAATAAAGTTTTATAAATGGTGGGGTCTCATTCTGCTCTCTGGATTCCGGGGGAATATTTAGTTTATGATTATAGGCATCACATACAAACATCAAAACAAACTTAATACACTGCAGATTATCACTTGATAGTGCCTGCAATTCTAGATTTATTTTTAGCTTAAAAATTCATTTCTCAAACTATATCTGTATTAATGTTGCATTGTTGATTTAAAAAAGAAAAGAAAAAAGCTCCTAAATTCTAGTCATAAATTACAATTCTTGTAAATAATAAATTAAAATTATTCTTGTAAAATATCAAACTAATTGATTAAATTCCTATTATTACATGCAAATTGGACAATGTACGTGCATACATAAGCTTACTTTTAGAACGTACTTAACTTCACGAATACAGGATGAATATATATTGTTTAGAGAATTAAAGCCTGGAAGTGTGTACGATGTTGTCGGGTTTTCCAGAAATAAATATGGATGGTCAATGCATTCAAAAACATTCACGTTCTTTAACAAAGGCGTAGGTAAGACATCATAAAGTGACTAAATCATCGTCACAAACTCTAGTTTTCCCAATCTCATATTTACTAATTTAAACTATTAATTCTGCTAGATCAAATATCTGAAGTTTGAAATATCAAAGATTTTCACTGAAAGATTGCAAAGATATGATAAAAAAATAGAGTTTGTGGCAAGTCTTCAGTTTCTTAACCCCAGCCAGAAAACCAGAAAATCCTTTACAGTTGCTCCCTCTAAACATGAAAATTTAAAGACAACTTTAAGATCGTCTTAAATCATTAAAAGCTATCAAGAAATTGTCATGTATGATGCAAGACACTCTTTATAGCATTGGATAAACTTTATTTAACTTCACGTTTTACTTTTCGGGATAACTAAATTTTTTTTAAAGTTTAAATACCTTCAGGAAAAAGTTCAATGATCAATCTTTCCTCTAAAACTTTATGATTTAAAGTTTGAAACGTATGGGGTCGGAGAAGTTTCAACTGAAAAAGGATAAGATGAAAATATTATTACAAAAACTAACTGTTTGTACTATTTATTTATTTTGTTTGATTTTTGTTTTATCTCAAATGGGTTAATTTCTTACTTAATCTTTCAAATTAAATACCCAATTTTATCAATTTACATGAAGAATTAGCAAAAATGTGAGAGAAAAAAATTTAAAACCAAATTTTTCAATGTACGGCCAAAAAGCGCTTTAGTTAATCATTTTTTTTTAAGTTTTGGGGTTTTCGATTTAACATTTGAAATTTTGATTTGAAATCCACCCAGTAAAAAATATGTATATTTTTCATTGATTATTTCTTCAGATTTCTCTACACAAGAACTAATTAAGAAGAAACTAAGGGAGACAGAGGAGGAGGAGGAGAGGGCAAGACAAAAAGAGGAAATTTTAATCACTTCACTCTCGTAAGTTTTTGGTCTTCGAATTAAAGGGATTTTTTAACAAAAAGAATTTCTAACTGTTCCAGTAAAAATCTGTAATTTTTTATCCTATGTAGCCGACTAGAGGGGGGTGGGCGGTTGTCTATTATTTTGAAGGATTAAACAGGTCATAGAAAAATTTGTTTCTGTTACCATTGGATTTTATCTACAGTTTTAATTTTGTGTAGTGCTGTCTTTAAAACTCTTGTTTAAAGAGTCAGGCTTATGGTGACTACATGCTTCGCTTTTTAACGTCAAAATCATTATTTTCATTTATTATTAGAGATAGGATAAACTTTCCAGACTATTTTTCTGTTATATTTAAATTTAATTTTCAACCAGAAGCGTATTCAGGGGGGATATGGGGGCTCAGTACCCCATGAATCAGTGAAAACTGTGTTGTTACATAGGCAAAATGTTACTAGGCAAAATGTGACTAGGCAAAATTTTACTAGGCAAAATGTTACCTAGGCAAACTGTTACATAGGCAAAATGTTACTAGGCAAAATGTTACTAGGCAAAATGTTACTAGGCAAAATGTTACCTAGGCAAAATGTTGCCTAGGCAAAATGTTACTAGGCAAACTGTTACATAGGCAAAATGTTACTAGGCAAACTGTTACATAGGCAAAATGTTACTAGGCAAAATGTTACTAGGCAAAATGTTACTAGGCAAAATGTTACCTAGGCAAAATGTTACCTGACTAGGCAAATTGTGACTAGGCAAATTGTGATAAGGCAAATTGTGACAAGGCAAAATGTAGCTGAGCCCTTTATCATCACACTTCACGAAACATCTCGAATTTATGCAACATAACTGGTGTGACTTTGTGGCCCTGTAGTTCCTCCAGTTTTGATTTATGCAAAGTATGAGTTAAATACTAGAATTAAAAACATTTCTGTTCTTCTGAAAAGCTCTTCAACTAATCATGACAAAAACATAAGATTTCAACGTCTACATCGTGTAAAATGTAGATAATCGTTTTATCTCATCATTTTTATTTGCTTTATTTAACTGTTTTTCTTCGAAAACTTTCTTATTTTTGTCGAATTAGAATTAAATCATTTGTAAAAATTCAAATTACATTTTTATTAAGTTCAGAAAGCTTTTTGGTATTTTCATCCAGTTTCTATAAAGCCTGCTGTTTGTGTTTCTTTATTATTATTGTATTGTAATCTTACTGTTTATAAAGCTGAAGGTTTAGATGTAACAGTTCTATGGCTTCTAGAAGAAAGGGTTTAATAATTACAGATTAGATATCTATGCAAACATATTAGACAAATTTCTTTTATATAGTACCATCATTCAAACTTTATTTTTATAATGGATAAAATCTAAAAATGTCTGCCAAAAGAATATTATAGTTTAAAGGGACGGTCAACATAATTTCAAGTTTAAAGAGTTACATGCCCAATCCCCTTTTAACTTTTGTTTTAGCAAAACTGACGAAAATATTCTTGTTTTCCATCAGAAAAATTGATGATATTGAAAACAACGACATTTTTCTCATTGTTCCTCGGCTGATGTAATTATTCTATCTAGATGTGCACTGTTAATGTTGGTTTTAAGTTAAGTGGCACAGAGCATCCTGAATTTAAAGCTTTACAAATTTGATCAAACAATTTAATCCTTTAAGTTTAAACCTTAATTATCTAATCCAATTATACAAACCTCAATATAGTTGCACTAATTAGTTCTTAAATTTATTTCCATGGCAGTAAACCAAAATTTAAAAATTAAAGCTTCAACTTTGCCAAGAGTTGAGAAAAATTATCTAAACTTACTAATTAAATTCTCTCTTCTCTATACTATTACTTTGTCACTAGTCAAAATTTTACTATACAAAATGTTACCCTAGGCAAAATGTTACCCTAGGCAAAATTTTACCCTAGGTGTTTTTTCGCGCAAAATTGATGCGCAAAGAAAGAAAAATATTGCGGTTCGTTCCGCAAAAATTGCGCAAAAGTTTTGCGAATGGAAACCCTATTTCAAACTGTATACCTTGAGCCTTTCAGATTTTTAAATATTCAATATTCATAGAAAACAGAATAAAAACGGTCAATTTCTTTTTATAACTTAATATTTGAAATATCAGGAAAAGCCGAAATATTTAAAATGTTAGCAAGGGGTAGCGATGGGACGATTTATTAATTTTTTTCAGCAATTCACATACTTTACTTTCAATTCACATATTTTAATTTCAATTCACATACTTTATATTTTTCACTTTCAATTAGATAAAGAAGACGAATTGATATTTGTATTTACTCATGATATTAAAGAGAATGTAGTTGTTTTCAATTGACCCTCTATATGAATTAGGCATGCTCCACTTAATACTTTCAGTCTTAAAACTTTTTTTTAATGTCCTGCTTAATCTGACAGTGTATTTTACAATATTTTGGGGACTACTACGGTATGAATCATAATCCTATAAATGTGTGTATGTATGCACTTATGAAAATATGGCAGACAAGTTAGATTGTTAGTTAAAACAACACTGTACCAACAAAAATATACAATGTGTATTGTGAATGTACATAAATATAATAAATAACAAGTCTGTTAAGTTTGTTGCGTTAGTTTCTGCCTAAAAAGAACGAGCCGCAACAGATGAAACGGTTTCCCCAAAATGTTTAATTTTTATATTTCCTTACTTGAAATATCTAGAATTGGATCGCAATTAGACCGATCCGATCAGGTTCAAAGATTTTACTAAGGTCAAGATTGAATTAATTCTGTCAAATTAATCATCGTCCAAAAGCGTGCACTGCACTTTTTATAACCAACTCAAATCCAATCTTCTCGTAAAATTAGACCCAGAACTGACTTCAAAACGTGTACTACAATTATTTTTCTATAATAACAATAATTTCAACTTCATCTAATATCAGTTGGTTCAGAATCCTGACAATATAAAGTATATTAGGATCTAGATTATCCATGCTTTAATTAAAATTAATACCAAGGCCAAGGTTACTCTATCACGCATTATCTGATTAAACTTGAGATGTAAAAAGAATGTTTTTAAATATTTAATATTAATTTTTGAGATTTGAAAATGACGGAGAGAGTAATGTGGTATACTCTTTATCAGGCTCAGCTACATTTTGCCTAGTCACAATTTGCCTAGTCACAATTTGCCTAGTTCACTTTTGCCTAGGTAACATTTTGCCTAGGTAACATTTTGCCTAGGTAACATTTTGCCTAGGTAACTTTTTGCCTATATTTTAAAGTATTTAAATGAAGTACATGCGTAATTTCAAGTGACCGTCCATTTATAGAATGGCATGTCCTTCATTTCTCCATAGTTTCTGAAGCAATTGAATTGCTTGAGTCACTTTTGTAGAAAAACCACAAATAAAAATAATCAGTTTTCAAAGTGGTAAACATGGATATTTAATGCAATACTTGAGCAGACAAAGCTTTGAAGGGTATTGTTGTGAATCAGAATTAAAGTTATGTCTGCAGTAACTTTAAACCTCTCAATTGATTCTATATTAATTAAACTGCTTTTTAGGTTTGTGATCTTTGTGAAGAAAGGAACAAAAAAAAAGGAATTGAGTCTTGTTACAAACTCTGATGTTCCAATACATAAATTTTTCCACCTTATCTGATATTTCAAGCTTAGATTCTTTTATTTAACAGAATTCACAGTTTGAAATATCTAAGGTCTACGGCATTGGGTTGCAAAAATATAGAGATAGTCATAGTTTGTGACAAAGGCTCAATGAATATTAAATTTAATGATTGCATATTAAAACTTATAAATTTGTTTTCCTATAAATATCTCTTTAAAGGGAGGAGATTTTGATCTTACGTGAACACTTGTACGTGAGCCAAATACATATTTGTAATTTTGTATAATGTAAAATTTTTAAATTATATTTTAATTACATTAATTAGTTTTCTGTGTCTATATAGATTTGTTTCAGGTCTGACAGTGTAACCTGGTTGATTGATCTAAGGATTGGTGTGATGAGTATCATCTTATTCATCCAGTAATCTTCTCATCCTCTCATACATCAAACGGTGCTGTACAGAAAGTGCAATACAGCTATTAATAAAATCAGTGCGGTGCAGTGCAGTAAACAACCTTGATCTGCAACATAGCTGATCAAATCAGTGCAGCACTGACCAGTGAACAACCTTGCTGTGAAACACAGCTGATCAACAGCGCACTACGTATGGCGAACAAACTTGCTCTGCAATAAAGATGATCAACAGTACAGTGCAGTACTTTACAGCGAGCAATCTTGCTCTGTAATACATCTGATCAACAGTGTAGGATAAAGTGGGCATTCTTGCTCTCCAACACAGCTGATCAAATAAGTGCAGTATTGTACAGTGAACAATCGTTCTCTGCAAAACAGCTAATTAACAGATAGTACTGTACCGTGAACTATCTTGCTCTGCAACACAACTGATCAAATCTGTGAAGTACTGTACAGTGAACAACCTTGCTCTGCAAAACATCTTATCAACAGTATAGTACTCATGTACAGTGATCAATCTTTCTCTACAAGACAGCTGATTAATTGTACGGTATTGTACTGTGAAAATCTTTCTCTGCAATACATATGATTAACAGTAAATTACTGTAAAGTGAGCAACCTTGCTTTGCAATACAGCTGTTAAAAACAGTGCAGTTCGTATATACAGGGTGTCCCACGAAACATGACAGTTGGTGAATAGCTTTGAATGTCGTCTTTCATATTCTGTATTAGATATTAAAGACTTTTTGTAGTTTATTTTGTACTCAAATATATTTTACTTTGAAATCAATTTTTACTGCAAGATTACTCCCATACAATATTTTTTATCATTCTCTTTGTTATCAAACAACTTAACAAATTATGGAAGAAGAAATTTTAAACCATTCACTAACTGTCATGTTTTGTGGGATACCCTGTATAAAACAAATATGTTTACAAAGTTTTCTCCGTGTTATTGGATTACGAAAAGAAAACGGTTGAAATTAAGTTAAAAGTTTTATTCTAGATCTGAAGATGTAGGAACTGCGAGGAAGAAGTTTCTATATTTACGTAGGAATGAATTCATATAAAAAAAGAAAAAAAATGTCTCAATATGAAATAATTATTTTGCGTGGTGTAGAAAAGAATGTTAAAAATATTTTACGGCATTAAATCGGTGTTTGATATTGCTTTGCAGAAAGTAAATATATTATAAAAAGGTTATTCATGTTTTAAAAAAGATTGAAAATTTAGGCAATTGTTATACTTGACTTGTTAAATGTTTGAAATAAATTTGAGTAAAACATCGTGTGAAGGAATAATTTTACTTAAAAGAGCTGTAGAAGTACCATTCAAACCTTTGACTGATCAAGGATAACGGACTTATCTTTTGTAATTTACAGAAACTATTGTAATTGTTAAACATTTTACAATTGCAGGCTGTTTTTTAATTAAAAGGAGTGTTCTCGAAAAATTAAAAGGGAATTAGGCTAGTCAAATTCATATTCGATCGCCAATAATTTGTTTTCTACCTACAGAGTCTGTAAGCAGAAAATAGTTGAAAAGTGAAAACGCATAATATCTAAGAGAGTAGAATGCTAGAGTTCATGTATATTCATTTAATTGAATTCCACTCAAACTGTACATAATTCATTATATTTTTAAACTAATCTTTTATAATTTACAATATATGAATTTCGAAAAAAAATATGAGAGCGAGAGACATTGATTTTTAACAATATCGATATTTTAGCAAAGCCATGTTTTTAACTTTTTATAACATATTTAATATATGATATACTGTATTAACTTACCATTAAACCTTTTACAAGACTGTCTAAGTGGAACTTCTATTTATCAAAACATTAAGAATTTACTGACATTGATTCTAATGAAAACATCGATTTACTCCAAAATGATAGAAATTTTGAAACATTGTATTTACCAAAAATCATCAAATATTATTAAATTCTCACTTAAAAATGCATTTTTGTGCAGTTGAGGTTTCGTGAATATATTGACACAGAAATTGGGATTAAAAAAGTCGAGTTTAAGTCGAGTTTATGCACCCATTTTTCACCTAGTTGATGACTGGGAAAATATTTGATTCAAAAAGTCGAGTTTAAGTCGAGTTTATTCACCTAGATTTCACCCAGTTGATAAGTGGGTTTCAACAGTGGAGTTTAATTCGAACTAAAGTGGAGTTTTAAAGTGGATATTTGAACTTCTAGTTTTCACCCTGACTTGGTAAAAACTGGGATTCAAAAAGTCGAGTCTAAGTTGAGATTGTGCACCCAGATTTCACCCAGCTGATGACTGGGAAAATATTGGATTCAAAAAGTCGAGTTTAAGTCGAGGTTATTCACCCAGATTTCACCCAGTTGATAAGTGGATTTCAACAGTGGAGTTATAGTCGAGTTTTAAAGTGGATATTTGAACTCCCAGTTTTCACCCTAACTCGATGAAAACTGGGATTCAAAAGGTCGAGTTTAAGTGGAGTTTATGCACCCAGATTTCACCCAGTTGATGACTGGGAATATATTAGATTCAAAAAGTTGAGTTTAAGTCGAGTTTATTCACCCAGATTTCACCCAGTTGACAAGTGGATTTCAAAAGTGGAGTTTATAAGTCGAGTTAAAGTGGAGTTTTAAAGTGGATAATTAAACTCCCAGTTTTCACCCTGACTCTGTGAAAACTGGGATTAAAAATTTCGAGTTTAAGTCAAGTTTATGCACCCAGATTTCACCCAGTTAAAGTCTAAAAACATTAAAGGTTTCTGTAAAACGAATCTGGCTATTGCACATCCCTAAGAGTAAGTAGTATAAACTTCATAGAAACTCATATCTAAAGAACTCAATAATGGAAACTTTACAAAGAGAAACTCAATATAACAAGCCAGGTTGAATCGATTAAAGCACTAACTTTGCACGGACATTTATTTTACATTATTATTAAAATACAAACTGAGGATCAACCGAAGTTAATCCTGGAATCATAGATGGAGCTGATTCTCCTCTCGGAGCTACTGGAGATGTTATCGACCGCTCTCTTCTGATACTTCATCAAGACTGACCCTCTTCTCGGGGACAAAATGGACGTTCAGTTTGCTTTCTCTGCCGACGAAAGCACCGTTATCCGTGTTCCCCAGATAAGGATCACCAGGGTTTGAATCTCGCTGCCCTGGAAATTTCCTCTCGCCTTTGGTAACAGATCCAGTAGTAACGGGTTAAATCATTATTATTTGTTTGTCCAGTTCTCAACTCATGATAAAACTTAGCTTGGGTTGAATGAACTAGAATACAATCTCCAACGTATATACATTTCTGGATGGGTTTACAGTAGCCTTTAAACCTTTAAATTACCTAAAACCATATCTAAGATTTTATAAAAAATTGAACACTTACCACAAAAAATTATTTTCAATTCCTATAACTTTGGAACCTGATGTCGTATACCTTTCATATTTTAAATCATTAATTTTGTTAAATCAAATAATCTAAGTTTGAAATAATAAAGATCAGGTTGCAAAGATAAATGAATAAAAATTAGAACAAAATTAGAATAAAAAATTTCTGATTTATGTAGCAGAAAGAAGAAATTAAACTGACAGAATTTTTTTCGTTGTGAATTTGTAATTCAGAAAATGTCTTCTTGAAAGTCCCTTTAATGTTACGTTCATTTAAAGGTGTTTGTTTAGTAATGATTTTTTCCAAAAGAATTCATGATCTACAAAATTTTTAAAATTTTAACATGAATTCACAAGACAACAATTTTCAATTTTACTAAAGTGCGTCTTTTTTCTACATATTATATAAACAATTATTAACAGACTACTAATTATGTAAAAGCTTTATAAACAACCCTATACAAATGAAGCCCAAATAAAAAAGTTGGGAGCCCAATTCACAACGAAAACCCTTTACACCTTAAAATGCGCAAAGTGAAAAGGATATCGCAATTTTTCTGTCAAGAAAAGTGTTGAATTCTTACAATTTCCCCCTTTGTCCCTCCTGCATTAATCCGAAAGTCATTTTCAGATAGAAAAACAACGATATCTTTATCATATTTGCTCAAACAAAATTTAAAATTTAAGAGGATAAAAAAGATAATCAGACTTGAAGTTCAGTTAAAGTCTGAGGTGTAGCAAGCTGTATAAACCTGTAAATGGAGATGGATTTATTGAAATCTTTAAAATATAAGATAGGAATGAGTTTTTTGCCACAAACATTGATTTATTATCTCTAAATCTTTACAACCTGATGGTGTAAACCTTTGATATTTCAAACGTACACTACTTTATCAATAGGTCTAGGAAATCGATATTAAGATAATACATACATTATTCCTTTAAAGTTATAATTTTTACAAAGTTTTTGTCTACTTAAGAATGATTGATATTTTTTAGTCCTCTTATTCTATTTAGTGCTGGAGAACAAAATATTTGAAGAATTTAATGTATTTGGTTTAATTCGATCACAGGGTGTCTTCAACGGCGTAATTATAGGTTTTGGATCCTTTTATGGGTTTAGATGACTGAAATTTGATTTACTTAGTAATATCCTATTGATTTTACAGTGACTTTTTTTAACAATTTTTTATCCGTAGCTTTTTTCTGTTATAAAGAGCTTCAAAATAACAGGGAAAGTGTAGAATGAGACTAAATATAGCTGGATATAGTGTAGATTATTGGATATAGTGTAGGTTAATGCTAAATATACCTAGATAACGTGTAGGTTTAGACTAAATATAGCTGGATATAGTGTAGGTAGAGACTAAATATTGCTGGATATAGTGTATAGGTTGAGACTAAATATAGCTGGATATAGTGTATAGGTAGAGACTAAATATTGCTGGATATAGTGTATAGGTTGAGACTAAATATTGCTGGATATAGTGTATAGGTTGAGACTAAATATAGCTGGATATAGTGTAGGTTTAGACTAAATATTGCTGGATATAGTGTAGGTTGAGACTAAATATTGCTGGATATAGTGTAGGTTGAGACTAAATATTGCTGGATATAGTGTAGGTTGAAGCTAAGTATAGCTGGATATAGTGTATAGGTTGAGACTAAATAAAGCTGGATATAGTGTATAGGTTTAGACTAAATATAGCTGGATATAGTGTAGGTAGAGACCAAATATTGTTGGATATAGTTTAGGTTGAGACTGAAGATAATATAATTACTTTATTGTCAGTAGAAAATAAATTAAATAGATAAATCGAAGAATTGAAGGATTGAAGGATTTAATAAACCAGCCCTTAAATAATACAAATATGGGATACTGAACAGGGTAAAGTATTCGTCAAAAAAAACGATCTGGTCCAAATCAATCCAGTCACATTTTTTGCATAACACGTGCTGGGCTCAAACCACACTGGGTACGCTAGACCTGCTAACTGGCGGTATAAGTGGTGTATATTGTATATTGTATATGATTACACTGGACTGTGCGTTACCAGTAAGTTCTTTGAACGATTTTTCACCATTTATTTGGCACAAAACATGTTATTCATTTCTAGTCATCCCAACATCAATTTTGATAACCGTCACCGTTCTCCAAGTTCTTCCCTACACCAGGCGTCTTTGGCACTATCACTGTCTCAGGAAACAATTGTGATTCCAAGTCTTAGCC